CGGCTGGGCCAAGTTACGTTTTGGAAAAGGTTGCTTTTAATCAAAATTGCAGCTGCATTGGTGGAATAATGCACATAAAAGGACGGGCCACTTCTGATCTTTCTCGCTTTTCAATACTGGCCTGCTAGTTGCAGACAAACAGTTAGATTTGGTTCTCAGTGAAGGGTTTAGAACCAGCAGCAACAGCTCGCGAAAATTAATGCACGCCGCCGTACACGAGGCACGTCATGTTCCGTGCGAGAGCTGGGAAATAATCATTTCACCGTTGATGAGGGCCTCCCAACCCACCGTTGATGAGGGCCTCTCGACTCTCGCCCCAGACTCGCCGGTCGTCTGACGTCAGCAGCGCCACCTGGCAAGAGTCAGGCGACTGCTCTGCCATCTGTTGGCAGCGACGCAACTGGAAGGCCAGCTCGTCGACCGTGAGAGGCTCCCAGTCCTCAGTCAGCGAAAGCTGAAATTGCTGTAAACGGAGAGGGCGTTTATTAATGGCAAATCTGAGTGAAGTCACAGCGAGCTATGTACGACATGGGGCTATGGGAGAGGGGGTATGCCCTCACTTTTAAGATTCAAACATCCTATTTATCGTGATACAAAGAAAAGACCGGCTTCAAAATGTGTGACCTTGCATTTTTTTTTCAAGCGTTGCCATGCCCATGAACGCACGCAAGCGTTTGTGAAAAATTTCGCTGCAGAGAAAGTTGAGGCGGGGAGGGACGGGCGGGGAAGGGACGGAAGGCGGGTAAGAACGGAAGACGGGAAGGAACGGGAAGCGGGGAGCGACAGGAATGGGTGTGTGGAAATCTCCCACATGTATCCCCCCAGAACAATTGGAAAGTGCTTCTTATGCCCCTAAGGGCAAAGTTGTGATTGTTGCATTGATGAGAAGGAAAAAGCACGTACGCGAAGCAGCGACAAAGTTTTTGTAGGGTTTCAATTGAGCCTCAGGACCCTCTTCGAGTATATCGATTGAACATTAAAAATGCTCCTTAGCTGTACTGCAAGAAGTTTAGAGCCCAACCGATGCATGCAGCCAGCCAATTAGAACGATTATTGCACAGAAATAGACAGCACATGGCTCGCGTCTATGCGTGGAGCATGCTGATCAAGATCAGAAGACGTCTAGCCGAGGCAGAAAATACCAGAAGATGGCTGGCCGAGACAGAAAATACCAGAAGATGGCTGGCCGAGGCAGAGAATACCAGAAGATGGCTGGCCGAGGCAGAAAATACCAGAAGATGACTGGCCGAGGCAGAAAACACCTCGCATCAACGTTAAGTTTTGCCCGTCGCGGAGGTTTTTTTCATTCCATTTCGTCTAGTGGGTACTTAAGGGAATTTATTGCTCCCTTTAGACGTTGTATCCTTGAATCTTTTGACGAGTGAAATTTAATTTTCTTAAGCTGTATCCAATAGCAACACATAAATACAAACAATATTTCTCCATGCTAACCATAACATTCGCTTGCCGGCATTTCCTTACAAACATTATATGTATATATATATATATATATATATATATATATATATATATATATATATATATATAGATGCATAGATATTAATCTGAAGTGCATCTCTATCAGAGACTGGAAGGTAATATATCACCACAGACCGAGCTCGACAAACATTGACTGGCTGCATGTAGCGGGTGGGTTACCCTACAGGTAGTTAAATCATCTTTTGACTTAACTAGAGGACGACTCGCTTGAGAGAAAGCCAGGCAAAGGTTCTATGCTAAATTAAGAAAATGTGATACATTTGGGTGCCCTCAGGCAGAGCAGCATGGCAACGTTAATCCCAGAACAGACCACCCACGGTGCCCGCAACGACTGCTCTGAAGCCCTTACCACTTACAGTTCAACTCACCAAGGACTAGTATAGTCCAGACAGGCCAAGAGCGTCCCTCTGACATACGGCACTTCCAGGAAACAGCACTCTCCTTCCAAGTCGTAACTCGCTTCCGCGGCGTTTACGACCGAGTTACGACACGCCTTTTTACGACGGCGGGAGGAGAGGGCTCACCAAGATCGGGCGCTCGCTCCGGTGCCCCCTCGTCCCCGGGGAGAGATAGCAGCACCAGGATAGCGGCAAACAAGTGGCAGTTTTGTGCGGGGAAGGGTTTTTGCATGCAGATGGGAAAGGAGGGCACAGTGATCCACGAGAGGAGGCTGAAGCGGGCTCTGGTGTCTGTCGCAAGGCTGGTCCAAAGCGATGGCGCGCGTTTGACGTAAAAGTGGTGCGTCTCTAGCAGGCAGACAGCCAAAATTTTCCGCGGGAACAAATGAGAAATTTTCTCCAAGATCCTACGAAAATCAGCCGAATGTTGTGAGAGATTAACCAGTACCTAATGTAACAACCTTGGTTCAAGGAGAGGGCCACGGCCCCTTACCCATCCCTTCATCTACAGTCCCGGCCTCTGGAAAATTGTTATTGGCGTAAATAGCAACAAGGTTGGGTAGCATTTCCGCATCCGTGCAACAACATAATCCCGCTTATTACAGTATAGTTGCTATGAACACCACCACAAAGGCGATGTTACGTGGTCGTTCTAAAATACTTTCGTTTGCTCCAGTCATTCTTGGCGTGCATCCTGCTGCCGACATGTCATAGCCGATGTGCTATTCGTTGCATGCCAAGTCCAGGAATGGTCCTGTTCTGAACTGATGGAAGTCACGACTGCTTAGCCGCATTCAGAAGTTGCGATGGGATGACCTTTCATGCCTTCGCCTCCTTCAACCGCAACCCGCTGTCGACAGCGCTTATACGCCGCGAGCTTTGCCTGACCGGTGCCCCACCTGTCCGCCGCAGCAGACCATGATGTACTGCGCCTGCGCACTGCTCGTGTCCAGCTGATAGTCACGTGACCGCCCCGGGCGCCGGTAGGTGGTCATGACGCGATGATACTGCTCCATGCAGAGCGGCTGGCCCTTGTCACGTGACGAGCAGCGGTCGATTGGCAGGCCGACGCTGTGGGAGGGGGGAGGGGGCGTGGTCAGACAGAGGTGCGTCCATGAGCCGACGCTGTGGGAGGGGGGAGGGGGCGTGGTCAGCCAGAGGTGCGTCCATGAGTCGACGCTGTGGGGAGGGGGAGGGGACGTAGTCAACCAGAGGTGCGTCCATGAGCCGACGCTGTGGGAGAGGGGAGGGGACGTGGTCAGCCAGAGGCGCGTCCATGGGCCGACGTTGCGGGAGCGGGAGGGGGCGTGATCGGCCAGAGGTGCGTCCATGAGCCGACGCTGTGGGAGGGGGGAGGGGACGTGGTCAGCCAGAGGTGCGTCCATGAGTCGACGCTGCGGGAGCGGGAGGGGGCGTGGTCAGCCAGAGGCGGGTCCATGGACCGACGCTGCGGGAGCGGGAGGGGGCGTGGTCAGCCAGAGGTGCGTCCATGAGTCGACGCTGCGGGAGCGGGAGGGGGCGTGGTCAGCCAGAGGCGGGTCCATGGACCGACGCTGCGGAAGCGGGAGGGGGCGTGGTCGGCCAGACGCATGTCCCTGAGCCGACGCCGCGGGAGCGGGAGGGGGCGTGGTCAGCCGGAGGCGCGTCCCTGAGCCGACGCTGTGGAAGGGGTGTGGTCAGCCAGAGGCGCGTCCCTGAACACTCGGAAGGGGGATGTTACGGGTAGGGGGGAGGCAGTTGACTTTAGCAAAGCCACACGCGAACGAATAAGTTTTTTATCCGAGAAGTTCTTGCAAAACTTGGAGGGCGTGCATGGAATGGGTTGGACTTGAGATCCTGAACTAGTGACGTCACTGGGCACTAAGAAACTTTCTCGTTCTCTGCCGTCCAAATGTGCTGACTTTGAGGGTTATGCAATGTGTTTGGTACCGTATGCCACTTTTTCCAAATGAGACCGACGAGACAGTTCTATCGGATTTCCTGCTAGCTCGCTCCTGCTCTTCCCGAAAATATTTGTTTAGGCTGCTTTAGTCCATATCACTATGCATAGGTACACTGTAAACCCAAACTAACAATTTTCAGCAGTTTAAGTAACAATAGCATTGAGTAATCACCAACTATTGCTGCAAGAAGAGGTTTTTGCTGATCTTCTTAGTTTTTTGCTCTCAACGTTGATGTTTTGTTCTCAAATCTGCTTTTTTGCTGGAAAAGTGGCAAGTACACACCAGGCCCGGAACGGCCGGTAGCAAGCAACTCGGGCCTTCCCGCATAGCTATACCATATATCCGGAAGTATCGCGCTCCAACCCCTACCATTCTCACCAATACCATCGGAATCAGTAAGACGATGTCTAAAACCTTCTCACCCTTAGTAAAGATGTTCCATGCATGTAGAATTTCTATCACTCACATCAAATGATCAAAGGGTATCCGGGAATGCTTTGAGATGTTGCGGAAATGCTCCAAGGCATTCGCTGCATATCAAACGTCCATAAGACTGGAGGAAAGGTTTTCTGGGGTCAGAATATACGCAATTTAGAGCCCAATGCTCGAACAACATCGCATTGCCAAATGTTGCCAATAACTCTGCCGCAATCGTGGAGCGGAAAATGAGGGCATTCAGACCGATTTGACGGCGAAATTCGTCGGCAGTTTCGTAAGCGACGCGAAGCGACACCGACGCCTCGCTCAGGAACAACTGGTCGGCAACATTCCTTCCGGGACCCGACCGCTGCAGTGGTCCTGCCCACCTGCTCTGATGATTGGCATCCTGCCAAAACGCGAATGCATCTGTTGGAGCTGAGATGTCGGAAACGTTGTCTTAACAATTTTTTATGGCTTCATGATGATATCATTTTGCAACCTGCAGTTAGTATGTCCAATTTTGTATACGTTAACAGCATACTTTGATAGTAACCATGCGGCAAATATTTGCATATACTGACCGCCATGTGTTGTTCCGTGAAACACACGGATCCTCGATAGCGTTTCGATCGAGAGCCTTTGGCGCTGATCATTTTCACACGGCCATGCTCTAACCAGTGGACAACAGGACAACGGGTTATTGAATAGGTGGATGCTACTACAAACCGAACCCGAACAGAAAACTTATTAGCTACTACCTGCCTGAATGGGCATTACGATCACCTCAAAATGACACACACACATACACACTCGACTGCCACCTGATTAGCTCACCGAAATCTAAAAAAATAATTTAGGGAATTATGCATGCGGATGTCATGCAACGTGTCAAGCAGTTGCTGCGTATTCTGCCAACCTCGCCTTGGCTTGCTGGGCGATTGCTTTTGGTCTACCCCATACAATTTAAAACGCGCCACCCCTTCCGTCCCTTCCAAAAACCACACCATCAAAACCCCACCACACCCCCACCCAACACCCAGCCTCCCCCTCCCTGCGGCAGGCGCCACCCCGCCTCCGAGCTTTTCCCGCTTCCGTGGGCCGGCTCGCCGCCGCCGGCCGCGTTAGTGCGCGATGAGGCCGCGGCGCGGCGCCACCGGTCCGATCGATAGCCGACCGCCGATCCATCCGGGCTGGCCTGGACCGCCGCCAGCCGGGGAAATGACCAGAGGATCGCGGTGCCAGCCGCGAAATTACCTGTTTTGGCGGCGGGGGGAGGGGGGCGCACCGACGCCGGCCAGGGCACGCGGCCCGGGTGGGCACCGGCAGGGGGCGGGGCGCAGATGGTCCGGAGCTACCGCGCGAAACGCGCGCGGGTGCTGCGGGTAGGAGGTGTTGTGGGTGCTTTTCCTGCGACGCTAAATCGATTGGCATGGAAAGGCGGCTGATTGTTGACGATTTAAGTCGTCGAATAGTGCTTTTTACCTTGGCAGGTTATTTTGCTTGGATTTCAAATTTACGCAATTGCCTTCGCATGTTGGTTGCACGGTGCATATATGTGGTCCATCGAGTACCCAACATATACCCGAGTACGCGGTGGTTAAAAACAAGTTCTAGACGATGGCACGTTTCGGAACGCGCAGTGTATTAATCGATTTGGAATGCGTGATCAATGACGCCACATCAGCAAGAGCCCAAATCCAGGGCAATCGTGGTTCGTATCGCAAGATGCCTCGCATTTCAACCACGCAGACCAGAACGGGAGGCGGGGCAACTTGGTCTTCACAAAGACAGGCTCATGGTCATGTTCATTCAATTCAGAAACGAACGCGAGGCTGGAAGTTGTGCTCAGTGGTTGCAGGCGTGGGGCTGGGAAAATCCATTCATGTAACTGAGTTAGGTCCCAGGCAGCGGCAGCGCCGAAGAAAATCTCACGCCCCACCCCCCCCCCCAACGTCACACACAATCAAGTACGAACAACGCGCCCGCGGAGCCCATCTTACAGCAACGCATCGCAGGACATCACGAAAAGTTCGACCCAGCTCGTGAACACTGGCAGCTCCCTCTCACACCTATGCGCACCGCGCTCCCCCACCCCTAACCAACGCGTCACCGTCTCACAACAAAGCCGTTCAAACACGCAAGGACCTGGGACGCAAGCCCTGCGGCAGCCCGCAGCGGCCGACGAAGGGTGGGGCCTCCGCCCACCCCCGAGGCGCCGACCATCGTCGGGGGTGTTGGTGGCCGCCATTTTGAGCCGTCAGCGTCATTCCCCGTGGTTTCTGCCGCCCGCTGGCGGAGGCAGGAGATGAAAAGCGTGGGGGGAGGGGGGGTGTCTTGGTGATGCAAAGACGTCGGAAGTAAATGCTATCGGTACATATTATGGCGGGTAGCTATTACCCCGGTAGAGCAGCGTAGGCTCCAGCAGTATGGCACACAGGCGTGCCTGAGCTTTGATGAAATAGGATTTTCTACTGACACGGACAGCACCAAACCTCGCTATCCTAAACTTCCTACTGGCACGCACATCACCAAACCCCGCTATCCTTAACTTCCTGCTGGCACGGACATCACCAGATCTCGCTATCCTTAACTTCCTGCTGGCACGGACATCACCAGATCTCGCTATCCTTACCTTCCTACTGGCAAGGACATCACCAAACCTCGCTATCCTTACCTTCCTACTGGCAACGACATCACCAAACCCCGCTATCCTTACCTTCCTTCTGGCAAGGACATCACCAAACCTCGCTATCCTTACCTTCCTACTGGCAACGACATCACCAAACCCCACTATCCTAAACTTCCTTCTCGCAAGGGCATCGCCAAACCTCGGTATCCTTAACTTCCTACTGTCAGGGACATCAGTCTTCGCTCTCCTTAACCTTCTGGCACAGACATCACCAAACTCCGCTATTCTAAAATGAATCCATCGTCGTTCACAAAGTTAGTACAATACACGGCGCATAGCCGCGCGATTCACCAAGTTTTGTTGCTGCCCGGGTTTGCCTTTTCAAGTCATTTTTTCGAGTCAAGTCAATCTTTTTCAGTCTTCCAGTGACTTTTTCAGTCTTTTTCAGCTCTTCAGTCTTTTTCAAGCCAAGTCAATTTATTACTCCACAAACCCTGTGCACAGACGAAACTTGCATTGATGACGACGGTTGATACAGCCTTGTAAGTTGAGAGCTCGCCAGCGTAATTAATCCTTCAATCATCCCCAGCAAGATATAAAACCAAGATGCACACCTTTGTGCTTCAGAAGCCAGCTAAGTTTGAAGCACTCACTGTGCGAATCATACATAGAGGACGAAATAAGTGAGCATATCGACGCATTATCCCGCACTACTGGTGAAATGTAAATTCTGGATATATGGTCGAAAGGCAGCTCAAAAATAATACGACACGACTTCCGTTAAGATACACCTCAAGGCTTCGGGACCACAAACCTTCCCATTTCCTCAGTCTGACACGAAAACGTATTCGATACCAACTTTCATATTCAGCGCACAATACACACCAAGCACCTGGAATGACCGAAAATCGATGGCGCAGCCTATGCCACATTGCAGTTTACCGATTACGTGTCACGTTATCATCCAGGCTAACCGAGCATCGTCCATGCGGAAGTTCGATGGCGCTACGGCCGTTGGCGCGCCGGGCGGCGAGGCGGTGTACAGCTGCCCCGCACTCCTGAAAGTTACGCCCAACTCC